CTTCTTCTTCTTCTTCTTCTTCTTCTTCTTCTTCTTCTTCTTCTTCTTCTTCTTCTTCTTCTTCTTCTTCTGTGGTTGTGTTCTTGTTTTACCTGTGCTTTGTTATTCACTGCCCAGAGGCTTAATTGATTGGTTGATCTATAAATATTGTATGTGAATAAGTAGATAAATCAAGTGTTATACTGTAGAGGGTTAGGAGTGGAGTTGTTACCTCATTTATGCCCTTCACAGTACGTATTCAGTGGACATGTGCTGTTTCAGGGGAAGGTTATAGTAAGTTATTATTGGGCATACAAGCACCCCTTTCCGACTCAGTCAGGGTCTTCCTCCTCTGGTCTGGGGACTATGGCAGGAGAAGAAATCCCAATGTCCATTATTTGTATTTCCTTGATCTGTGGCTATTTATAACAAGCAAGTGTAAATATCACCCTTCATAGAGGATAGGATCTTAACATTAACATTAATTTTGTTATACTGTTATATTGTTAATCAGTACATTGGATTGCAGTGTGTGTGTATGTGCTATTAAGTATATTAATATTCAGCAAACATATATAACTCTCACATCTATTTTCTAAGAGGTTTTTGGCCAAGACCACAGCTGATTGGCAGTTGATCGAGAAACTGTTTAAAATAGTTCCCACAAGGATGATGTGCAAACATAGCCACAGAGAATCTACTATTGTTTTTTGCAATTTCTATTCTCTCCAATCCTCAGGAATAATTTCTAGAATTCCTGAAATACAGACCTTTATTTATTTATTTATTTTTCAAATTAAGTCACCACCCATCTCACTCAAAGAGTGATTCTGGAGAGAGATTAAGGTCCTTTGTGGCCAGCTACCATCCACATTAACCTTAAGGAATTTCCCAGCAGCCCATGTAAGCAAGTTAAAGAACAAGATTCTAATGTTTTGTCATCCTCACCTTTTTCCCCTGTTGGCTGTCCTGGAGCTGCTTGCCACTGAATAAGCTTTCAAATTAGTTGTGTTTCCTAGTGCAAAGCAAAAGCTGCCACTTACAGATTGTCTCCTAGAACATTATTTTATTTACTTTAGCTCAGATTGTTTCAAATGTCCAGAGGAGTTCAGCAGCAATTCTTTCTTTCTTCTCCAGAGGTGCCCAATATACAGTATAGCAGTTGCCCTCAAGCTTTCCGAAGCCAAGACATTATCCCAGCTGTTATACAGAGCCCAGCTAAACCCAGGAATCAGTTACCAGAACTTGGAAAGAGTACAGTTGAAATTCCTAAGAAAGCTATTCCAGGAGGCAAATGTGTGCCTAAAGCTGCCTTGCAGCTGAAGGCAGGACTTACAAAAGTCAAAACAAGGGCATGGTTATGTGCATATTGGATAAATAAAGGTTCACTTTCAGCCCCAAGGTCTGACACAGCTAACATTAATTGATAAATGTGATTCCTCCTGGAAACTCCAAATTGAGAAAAAAAAATATGTAAGTTGGGTTTTTCAAGGGAGCTATTTTCCCCTTGAGACAAGATCAGGCAATGGCAGTGTTTAAGCAAAGGATTCTTGATATAGAGTTACAGTCAGAATATAGTAAACTCTCATCTAGGGGACAATTTGGACACAGCAATGCACATTTAAAGCAGCACTGTACCTAGATCAACTCACAAACAATACATTTCAACAAGCATTACTACGGTTCAATAACATACCATCAGCAGAGCTGGAGTGAAAATTCTGTAAAATTCCATACGCGGAAAGACTTTGCCCTTGTAATGATGGTAATATTGAAACACAAACTCATATTGTGTTATACTGTAATTTCTATTGAGACATATGCAATGAATGCAGACTCATTCATTGCTGATAGTAAAATAGTGCAAATATGATTGTAGGTCTTTTATCTTGTATGTTTTATTCTACTCTGTATGTCCTAACTTGTAGCTCTAATTTGTAGGTTTTATTTAATAAGTTTTATTCAGTCTAGGTCGCTGACCCATAATAAAGAATTTGATTTGATATTTATTTTAGATGAAAAAGACTCCAGCTAAGCACTTTAAGCCATAAACCATTTTGGCAGCAAAAAAAAAAAAAAAAGGAAAAAAAATCTTCTAAACCATGCTGCAAATTTATTCCTTGACTGTTAAATGATATTAGTAGAGTTAATAAAAGCAAAAACCTCTGTAAAATGAGAACTAGATATTCAGAAGAAGGATTTTCCCTTCATTCTTCCACATTGTCTTCTCTGGTTTCCAGAAGTAACTGTAATCAAAAGATAGACTTATCTGTCACCATAATGGGGCAATGTAGAAGACTTCTTTTAAAAAGATGGCTTTAGTGAGACCAGAGACAAGGCATTTCTTGCAATGAACTGATTCAGGAATAGCACTTGGGAGATCTGGGATGAGAGCCAGGGGGTAGATTCTTACATTTGGACATGGGGACATGTGGACTGAAATTTGTATAGAATCAAATCTGTAAAAAACAAATCAGAAACAATCACTCACATAATTAGTATAAATTCTGGAAAATATGAATCATATGGCTAGGTAATAAATACATGATGGCTGTGTCTTAATATAATGCTAAGTCAGATTTAGTGGCATATGTGTGAGCCACAGCCCCAGGCTCAAACCCATGAGTTCTCCCTTCTCCTTATTCAAATTAAGATCAGCACAATCTCATGATTCTCTTCAGATGTACTTAGTGCAAAGCCTCTCAGGTATCTCCTATCTTATACTTGAAAAAATGCATTTGTTAAATTGAATTCTATTATTCTCTATGCATTTTTCTAACCTATCAAGATCATTCTGAAATGTATCCCTGTCTTCTGAGCTGGTTCAATATGATTAGAAGTACCTATTCTCATCCACTCACCATATTCCTAGTAGTCAGGGATGCTTCCCAAATTATATTCAGTCTCCTTCCAACTCATTCTTCCCTGCAAACACAGATCCCAGATATAGAGTACGGGATTGCCATTATTCTGTGCAATGATCAAAGGCAGCTGGTGCAGAAAGTTTGGGGAAAAAAAGAAAAAGCAAATGCCTTGGCTAAAGACAAATGTCACCTTTATTTTAGTGCTACAAGAGAAATACCCCTGCATCTTTTGCTACCAGTTTTCATTCAACTGCACATATTTAGTTGCTAGGATTCTGTCTTATTACTAAATAAAAATTTGGTGCTAATTTTGGTAAAGTTCTGGGAAGCCCATGAAGTTCTGAGACCTCCACAAGTACATCCTGATTAAGAAATTCTGTCTGCAAGAACCCGTGACTGACTGAGGAGACTTCAGGCCTGTTGGCAGCTCTATATGCTTGCCCAATCATACAAAGATGCTCTTTGAACCTTTATTGGCTGTCCAATTTCTTGTTGCTTGCACTTGTTAATTCTCCTTCACCCTGTATGTTGTTGCCAAAATGCTCATTTCATTGATATTTTAAATCAGGATGCAAAATTACCCTTTAAATCTGAGTCTAATAAATAGGTCCACTATGGAGCATTTATTTATAATAGTTAGCTTTGTAGAAAAAGAAAGGGAACATCAGATAAAAGCATTATATATACACCTAAAGACTGCTTTAACTTTACTGTTTCTTGTTTTGCAGAGCACATCGTCCAGCTAGTTCCTGAGAATGGAAGCCTCCTTCATTCACGAGTGATGCAGTATAGAGAACTCCTAGATTCCTTGCCCATGGATGCCTACACTCATGGGTGTATTCTTCACCCAGAACTCACCACAGACTCCATGATTCCAAAGTATGCTACAGCCGAGATTCGCAGTAAGTGGTCAGTTATGGAGGCCCTTATTGGGAAGATGATTATGGGTATGGATATATGGCATTGCTTGGTCCATTTAAAATGTGTACAATCCCCATTTCTGATAGTCCAAAATGTTTAGGGAGCTATCAGCATAATAAATGGAAGTGATGGACTCAAGGAATAAAGAATTAAATCAGCAGAATTATCTGGAATGTGGCTAGTTCTCGATGCCTGATATTATTTAAAAAAAACAAAAACAGGCATGATCTTGCCATGCGAAGACAGACTACAGCTCTGCTGCAAGAGGTAGTGGCTTAGGGAAAGGTTCCATTCCAGCTCCTAGAGCAACCTTCAGAAAGGTAGCATTTTCCAGAAGTTTTTGGACTATGGCTGGGAATTCTGAGAATATCTAACATCTATTGTCCTGAAATCTTTAGGGGCTTGCAATGTAGGCAATTTCAGTTCAGAACATTTTTTGCTGGTGTCTTTTCTTCTTAGCAGAAGGCCTAAAATTAATTGCATTGTGTGTGCTTTGTATGCAAAAGGGCTCAAGTTCAATTTGTGGTATCTCCACTTAAATGGAGAGCTAGCATTCCAGCCAATTGAACTCACATACATCAAACGACTATCTGAGAAGGTCTCAACAAACACAATGGGTTTTAACGCATTGCAACAGATAAGGTACTCGTCATCTATCTCACATGTAACCTGCATCTGTATAACCGTTCTGTCTTCCCCTTCCTCTCCCCCGCCTCACCCCAATTTAAATCCTACATCAGCCAAGCCAGTCTGTGCAGCTGATGAAGTGAGCTGCAGCTCACCAAATATACCTTTTAAAGCATTTGTGAGTCAGAAAAAGTGCTCTCAGACTCCTGATTTTTTGGTATACTATACATATAGTAGCATGGCTGTTCTCGTACAATATCTATAGTGTTCTGCAAACTCAAGGATGTGTGGATAGCACTTCAACTCAGCAGTGGGCAAACACAGATTGCCAGTCACACTCCTCTCCACTGTGGTGAAATACTTTGTATTTCTCTTTAAAGTTTGCATTATTTGTTTAAGTTATCATACCGCTCTTTTATTCCAAAATTCTTTCATCTCTCTCTCTCTCTCTCTCTCTCTCTCTCTCTCTCTCTCTCTCATGATGCCTTTCTTCTCCTTTTGTTGAGGCATAAATGACTATTTTTATCCAAAGACATAATATGGGTTGGTTGAATTAATGACAGGATTTAGCATAAGGCAATTTCATACAGCACCATACAATAGGTACAACTTCAACCTGCAGGCCAAGTCTGTTTTTAAAGATGCTGTGCTGCTCCCATCCATTGGCTCTAGCGTACAGATTCCTAGCTGCTAGCCTGGCCATTCAGCCAGTCCATGTTGCTGGCTGTGACCCTTGCCTTGCCTCACTCTTTCCTTGCTTCTGCCCCTGGTCCTAATTTCACATTATGCAAGCAGCAAGCAAGGCCACTGGAAATGAAGCCTTCTTAAGTCTGCCCTGTAAGGGAAAATAGTGGGTGCAGCCATTTTTGCTCTGTCACTTTAACTCATCCTGCCCCTTTTGGCTTGATTTGTTCTGGCAATGATAAAACTATGTTTCCCTGACAAATCAAGACATTTGAATAGCTTGCTTTACAAGAGAGTCTCCCCCCCCCCCCCCCCCATAGCTGCTTGTTTCTGTGAACCAAGCCTTACTTGGCAGTTGGAATGAACAACATTTTGTCCTCTAGATATTTTTGGACTGTAGCTTCCTCAAGCCTTCACCAGTGGCCGTCTCCCCACTGCCTTTCCCCCCCACTACCTGGGATTTTCATATCAGAAGGGCAATGCATTGCATATCTTTGATTCTGATTAAGTAGGTTTTAGTCTACTTCTTTTGAAGTTCCATGACTGTTGGGAAGTGAGGTTCAGCTTCAGAGAGGACAATTGGACATTTAGAAAATTCTTAGTGATATGTAGCTCGGCTCTAAGCATTTCACTTAATGCAATTCAGCACAAAACCCATTTTCTCTTCACCTTCTGCTCCCTGTTGAGCTATTTATTATGTATTTAATATTATACATTCCTTGATAACTAACTTTCAAATAATACTAGTTTTTTTAAAAAGCCATAATACAATGATAATAACTTCTGTGGCATATTGGAAATCCAACTATGTACAATCAATGGAGCTTTGAAGCTTTCAATTTGGCTCAAACAGGAACTAGGCTGGCGGGGGCCTTCTAGATTTCTCTTGGGTACCAAAATGCCTAAGGGCAGCCCTGATGTGTGTATATTAGGTTACAGAGACAAGGATAAGTTGATAATAGGCTGTGTGCTTCATGTACAAGCTCTCATGAAACATTGACAATGCCTAATATAACTTTTCCACAAGGACATCTCATGAAAGGCAGTCCTGCTGTGTGAACAGTGACTTTGTCACAAGAATACCACGGGTGGTTGCAGTTTAATGACTCTGGATAATTTATAATCAAGCTGCTCAATTTACAACTGCAGAGATCTTTTTTTTTATCTCTCTAAACTTGACATGGAATTAGAAACTCAGGCTAGGTTTTCCTTATCTTTAAATATATACATATTTACATGAGGATGTCTTTCTTCACCATTTTTTTGGTCAGGTTTGTGCTTGGCTGCAAATTCTCTCTCTAGTGCTTGCAAATTATTTGAGAGCACCACATGATCCCATGGGAATATGGGCATAAGAGCTACATAGAATGTCCATGTTCAGAGGCAATATAGTGCAGGATAATAAAAATGAGAGTAGCAAAGGAGTATAGACATTATTATCTTCAAGCCTTGTCTATGTGTTACAGCAGGTGGCAGCACCTAGCCATCCACGACTGATCTAGAAGCTAAACTAAGCTGGCTTGGATGGGAGATCACCTGGAAATCTCAGAGCTATAGATAGATTGGGAAATTTAAAAAAAAAAAAAAAATCAGGATTTTTTCCAGTAGCAAACCAATTCCAGATGCCAAACAGACTTACTGGAATTCTCCATGTAGTCCACAGAAATCTGAGACTTTATCTATTTCCTATCTTGATTATGTGCTTATCATCTGACTTCTTATTGTAGGAGGCTAAGATGAATGGTCCTTTGACCTCTTGTTATGGTCTCCTCTGAGGCAGACCCAGAGAGATTGTTAGCCTGGGGAGCCAGCAGGCAATCAGGCCCCAGAAGCAGCTCCCAGAGCCAATGAACTGATCAAGTGGAGACAGAGTCAGATAATGTATTGGGCCTTTCCCACTCTGGAGAGCTAGTCTGTTGCAGGGGCTAAAGTGCTGGGTTGGAAACCAGGACACTGAGTTCTAGTCTTCCCTTAGGCATGAAAGCCAGCTGGGTGACTTTGGGCCAGTCCCTCTCTCTCAGCCAAGTCTACTTCATAGGGTTGTTGTTATGGGGAAAAAAGGAACATTATGTATGCAGGCCACCTTGGGTTGACCAAAAATAAGGGTGGGATAAAAATCTTATAATAAAAAAGTAATAATGGCAGGGTGCCTAACCTAAGAACATACCAGCAGCTATGAAGGGGCAAAGTAGAGATCTTGAGAGGAGAGACTGCATATTCCCTCAATTAAGCCATGCTTAACTGGAGCTACATAACAGCAACTCCCAGGATCTCTCTCTCCTGGGCTGGAATCTATTCTCCTATTTACAAATCTTCCTTTGGTTTCTTGTTCCTGCCTCCTGGCCCTGTAGGAAAGCAAGAATCCATCTTCTTCACAGATCTCCTGGTTCTTGATTTACTACAGTTGGTTTATAGTCCCACTTGAAACTGCTGTTATTGTTTGAAAATAAACACTATTCCCTAACTTGTACAGTGAAATCAAAGACAAAAAGGAAAATTCTAAAGCAAATTTCTGACTATACTGAGTGCTTATTTCTATTGAAATAGCAATTTTTCCAAAACAAAAGTTCATTTATCTAGACTTCCTCCAGTCTTTGAGTGAAATTCTACCTTAATCAGAGGCTGCTGAGGAGAATGATAAACACCACGCTTGCCTAACCTTGCTCCACAGACTTTGTTTTTAAAAGGACCACCTTTTTTCTCTCTCCAACAGAGGAAGGCCCTGGAATACTCTGACTTTGAAGGTGACCTAGAACCATCCATTTATCAGGATTCTGAGATGAGGGGATGTGTATTGGAATGTTTGAGTTATGTAGGCTGCTAAGGGGACTGCATTCCAAACTCATTATAAAGAGCATGACAAATAATTAAAGAAAAAGAACTGGATTTCCACCTATATTGTATATCCTTTCCCAAATCTACCTTTCCATCATGGAGATAAATCTACACCTACACCTATACCATCTAACTATGAGTACTTGCAAGCTTAGAGGAGACTTCCATGCTTTCTATAACTGCTTATTGAAATCAGGCTCAGTAAAACATTTGTGGGTGGAGTTACCTGATGACTTTGCATCAACTTAGTGTTTCATTTTAAATAATCACTGATAGCCAATAAGTCAAAATCAAAGCATATTGTAACTTTTGTTAATGATACCACTGACTAGACACTATCTGAGGTCAGAATTGTCTTTTCTTATCCAAAGATCACTGAAGTTTAAAAGGCTGCCAGAACCAGTTGGGCAGAAAGAAGAGAAAGACAGATGGTCTGTGCATGATCCATTCCTCTAAGATTTAAGTAATTTATGTTCATTTCCAGTGCATTACTCTCATTTTTTCTTTACCTTTCCTTATGTTACATATTTGCCTTTGTTCTCAGTCCAGTGACTAAGTGTCTCAGTTAAACACAAATCCCATCTTTGAACTAACTGGCTACTTTATTAAACAGATACAAGAGCCTCACTTTCTAATCCACTATTTTATTTGGTGATTTGAGATAATCTGATGCACTGCAGCATTTCACTAGATGCTAGTTGAGAGATCTACAACTGCATCACCCAGTAGTAGATCATTTCTCTTCTATCCTTTAGTCTCTAGCATCTTCAAATTCAGCAACTGATTTCAGAACAAGAAGAAAAAGCTTATTCATGTTGAGCAACTTCAACTTCTTCCCCTTCTTCTGATGCTAATTGTTTTTGGATTGTGTGAATCTATTCTCAGTTATTTTGCTGACAATATCCATTCATAAAGAACAGCTGAGGACAACTGTGAAAGCCACAGCACCAGAAGTTTCTCAGAAAATAGCCTCAGTTCTAATCCAGTCTCACAGATCAATAGAAACTGAAGAGAAGAGGAGCATATACTTAGCATCAAAACTACTGGGACATTGTTCTGCAAATAGTCTACTTCAGTCAGCATTAAGGGAGAATCAGACAATAGGAGATGTAAAGAACTTTTAATTAAAGCAATGAATTACTACCCATTCAGATTCTGAATTACAAAGGATGTGGTATTAGTATGAAGCCATCTATTCAATCCTGGCTGAGCATAAATTTCCTTCATTTGTAGGCATGGATATTTGTACAGTAGAATTTGCAATTACTAAAATTTTTGTTCTTGCGCACAACATAAATTGAAAGAGGGAAAGCCCTGTTTAGACTATTGATTTGCTGTGGGTAAAATTGCAATCAGATATGCTATAGGAAATGTTCAGGAAAGTTAAAAAAAACTATTGTGAAGCATTCCATCAGTAATCTGGGCAGGAAATGAATAGAAGAACATAATTTGAAACCTTAAATGTGAGATGAATGAAGGTCATATTCTGATTGCATTTTGTTTGTTGCAGTGACATCTACCGCACACAACTGAATGTAAATTCCCACTTTTAATACTGCAAGTGGATTCTTCAACAAAATGTTGCAGGGTAGAGACAGCCCTCTTCCAGCTGACTCTGTTTCATCCTCATCCCCAGTTTTCTGTTTCTTCCTCCTCCAATAATTACCGAGCATTCTCAGTTTGTTCAGTTCTCACTGAACTGTTTTTGGCTCCCCCTTTTCTTAGGATTTATCTGAAATTCTGCAAGCATCAGGATTCATTTAAGTCTGCCACTTCTTTTGGTTACAGAAAAATTCATAGAAAATAAGTTGTATGCTTTCAAAATGGTCAAGGAACGTATGTGGGTACCTGTACAGGAACAAATTTAACCATGGTTTATCTTGCAATTGTATCCACATTTCTGCATGCAAATTGGATTTTCCTGACACTACTTATCAAAAGTATAAGTGCCGTTTGGTAACTAAAATCCATCATCCCAATCTCAAGAGCCATGATACATCACTTTTTTTCATTTTTTATTTTTCACCAGTAACAGAGTCTGTTTCCAGGCCAAATAATGTCAGATGTAGTGGAGGAGGAGTAGCTCTTAGTTCTTCAAACCAAATGATCAGATGATCAAGATTTCAACCATGGACCTCTGAAACCTCTCAATCCAAATGTTGTTCTCAAACTGTAGCCTCAAACATTTCAAGAAAGTGAAGCTGCCATTTATAAAAATAATATTCCCCTTTTCTCTTTCTAATGTGACCTTTCTGACCATAGATAATGTAAGGCTACACTGGAAAACATTGAATTATGGCCCCACTTGCCCAGCAAAATCTTCCATAGAAGAAAAGAAGCAATAACCAAGCTGCTACAGGAGCTTAATTACTTTGGCTGTGCTAGATATAAAGAGCAACTAAGAGATTGATTTATTGTGCAGGCATTGCTTATGCTGAGCCCAGGATGCTGTGATAATTAAAAGTGATTACCTATGGGAGGTGAAATGACAAGATGGGGAAAGAATGAACACAGGTCATTATTATAATTTATCCACTATTTAACCTAGATTGAGAAGATTCCTGTTAATGCATTCACTCAAAACTGCCCTTTTGCTTGAAGTAGGCATTCTCATTTATATGTTGATAAATCTGCCAGTTCGTATGTCCTCTTGAAGCAGCTTTCTCCACCCTGGCAATTTCTATATGTTCTGAGACTCCAAATATAGCCTCACTCCTAATTTTATCTACCTTAGATAGGCTGCCTCAACCTAGTGTTTGTAAAAGTGTCAGGACCACAACTCCCAAGAATTACAGGGTGGCTTTTCTCATGCTAGCTTGGAGCTCTGGGAGTCCCAATACCGTACAGCTGGAAGGTACAAGGTGGAGAAGGTTGGCTTGAAGGTGTCCAGGAATGACAATTAGTTCAAAATATACCTTCCAGGTTTTCTGGTTGGAGCATTCAGCCATGGTCCTGTGAAGTTATTTCTTAATGCATTTTAAGCATTAGCTCCCTGTGGGTGTATGGGCAAGCTTTGGGATATTGATTATTATCTGTATGGCCTGCATACAGAGGGGGGACCATAACTGCTTTTTCCTCTCCTTTAAGAAACAAGTCTGAAGTATGATGTAACATGAGCACTCTCACCCACAGAGAATCAAAATTGAAAGGACCCAGAAATCAGCAAATTATGATCTGGAACAGGGATATACAACCTGAACACCCTGATATAATTCTCAAAGCCCCTTCAGACATTTCCATCAAGTTTTGTTCTCTAATGTAATAGAAGGAAAACGATTAATTACGTGGGAACAATCACATAAATATATATTTAAGTTAATTTTAATAAAATGTGAAATAAAGGAAACTTATTTGGTTTTTGGCCTGACACCACTGATTTTCATTGTCTGAGTCCCACATTGTCTGGAGGACAGCCTATAATGGCTGTGTATTCCTGTAATCTCCTAGAACAGCCTTTTGAGATGGAAAGCCCTCGCACATCTGAGGTCCACATTTTGAAAAGGCTTTTCAAGCACCTGTGTGCAAGACATGTATCCTCCCATTCTGCTCTGCGTCTGCTCTTTGAAAGGTCCAGCCACAGAATGTGGGCAGAAAATGATACCTTGGACTTTAAAGGAAACCTGCTACACTCCTTGGTCTTTCATTCATCCTATTGCTGTCAATTCTTTAGTGCAGTTAATACATAGTTTCTTATAAGAATGAGACTTCTACTACAAATGAGATATCACTCTGCTGGGATAAAAGCTGTGCCACAGGTCTAACCGCAACCCATTTATATTTCCCTCTTTTTTTAGGACATTTAGTTAACGCCAGCTCAGATCTGATGAAGTTGGATCATGATGATGATGCACAATTAACAGAACCATATCTTTCCAAACAGAAGAAACTTATGGTGAGAATAAGCACAAGGGAGGGTTTTATTATTAGGTATGGAAACACTACAGAACCTTGGAATAGATATTGATCAGTGTTACTCAACCTGGGCAACTTTACGATGTGGGGACTTCAGCTCCCAGAATTCCCCAGCCATGCTGGCTGGGGAATTCTGGGAGTTGAAGTCCACTCATCGTAAAGTTGCTAAGGTTGAGAAACAGTGATATAGATATTGGCTTCAGCCTAATTCCTACTAACTCTTGGGCATTTTCCAAGAACTCCCCCCACCCTCCAAGGAGAGGGGCCTAATTCATGGTGCTCCAAGACTGAAAAAAGAGAGTGAAGAATAGGGAAAACAATGGTCCCCTGGGGCCCAATTTAATTGAGGAAGTAGCCAGGCTGCCTATTGATTCATCTGCAATAGGCAGAATTCATCAAATTCAGTTAAGAACCTGTAATAGAATGAATTGATGCAATTATCACCGCTCATGAATAATTGTGTGTGACTCTCACTGCTTTTTCCCCCTGATTAAGAATATATAATCAAATTAATTGATGTAGTTGACATAATTGATTCATACTTCAGCCTGATCCCTGTTTCTTTTATCTTTTAACTTTCTGATCAGCACCTCTTAGTAGAAAACAATGTTCCCACCTGATCCTGACTGATCTGGAAAGAACTAAGATAAATAAATGGGGATAATGGTTGAATGCCAAGGTGACAATGGCTTCTGCAGCTTTAACAGTTATCCAGAAAAGAGAAAGTGATAGAAAGAATGAAAGAAGTGGCCCTGTTGAAATTGCTTTAGGGTTGTTGTTCTTTACATTTATTCTTTATATTCTTTATATATAATATTCTTTATATTCATCCTATACTGACAGAGATTGGGAGCAATGATTATTTTAAGAAATCCATACAATCATACATAGAGGAAACTCCACTCCAGAAATACCCTCTGGACTTTAATGCAGTGGCTTGTTGGAAGAAAGCAAAACATCAGATATTCAGCATAAACCAAAAACGAGGTTTGAGGGTCCTGCCTTTGGGAGGAAAGCACTTTTCCATTTGCATCCCCCAATCTTTGTTTCGTAGTGGGAAAATGGATCTCCATTCTACTCCAGCCTTCCGGCCCACAGATTACAAACTGCAACAGTGAGAGCAAGAATCAGCAGGCCAAATCTCCTTTCATTGGTGGATAATTTGCAAACCTAACAGGCTGTGTCTGCATCTCTCTCCATTACAGAATCCCCAAAATAATAATATTTTAATATCATATTTGCTGGGTTGTTTTTTTTTTTCAAATCTGCTATATCCAATTGTATAATAATTGGTTTGTAACTAATTTTTTGTGGTAAAAATGTATGTAAAAATGTAAAATGTAAAAAAATTTAAAAATGTAAAAAAAAAAATAAAATCTTTGCTACTTTCATTTAGGCCAAAATTCTGGAGCATGACAATGTGAACTATCTGAAGAAAATCCTGGGTGAGCTGGGAATGGTGCTAGATCAGATTGAGGCTGAACTGGAGAAGAGAAAAATTGAATATCAAGGTATGCATTGTGTTAATCTGAGCATTATTTCCTAGTCTGCTGAGAGAGACTGCTGAGAAGCATATCTTTTGCAGAAGAAAAGTCTAGTGTGATGTATAACACTTGGCTACCATTGAACTCTCCTGTAGGTATGGCTAGAGTAGATTTTGTTAACTGAGAAAGCAGCTGTATATTTGCTATGCTGCTATTGCATGGATTCATCATGTTTGATTAGTCCCATCTGGTCACAGCAGGTGACTGAGTGAAGACACTTGTAGAAGAAACTACGGTTACATCTAAAAGGTATTTAAGATACAGGGACCTCCTCACAATGAGCAGGTGGCAACCATAATGGCAAACACTGTAGTGATGGCATTCATTTCACAGCTGACCTTCCAAAGCTGGGGTAGAAAACCTCCAGACATTTCATCCAGTTAGGGAGTCAGCTTGATCAGGTAATAATAATATATTATTATTTAATAATATATTAAATATATTATTATTTAAACTTGTATGATGCCCGACTCCCAATGACTCTGGGTGGTTCACCACAATCAAGCAAAGAAATTACAATAAAATCAATAAAAGATAAAATATGGCAAGTGCAACAGACCAGATAGAATAAAGTGAGTGGTCAATAAAGCGACAATGGCCTGGGTGAAGAGCCAGGTCTTCATGGCTCTTCTGAATAACAGCAGAGTGGGGCTGTCTAGGTCTTGGGAAGAAAATAATTCTGGCTTTTCTAGATGAGACTGAACCTAGATGATTT